CACTATTAAAATGCGAAATTTTCATTCAATGTTTATTGCCATAGAATCAGTTTTGGTAGTGAAAGTGACTTATTTAAAACAATGCATTTCAAAGTGAATAAAAAATACAAAACATTTTGGAATATAAATATTAGTTGAAGATAAAAATTTAGTGCAACTTTAATCTATCAGACTTCACTTTTAGCTTGATCGAAACTATACATAAACTATAACGAAGGCACATTTTTCATATTTCAAAATAAAAGTTCAGCTATATTATAACCTTAAAAAGTAATTACCCCATAATAGGAAGAGTATATTAAAACTTAACATTGATAAAGTAAAATAAATAGCCAAAGTACCAACAAAGTGCCAATGCAAAGTTCCGAACGGCCGTATTTCAGCTCATGGGTAACCTAAGCATTACAAAGGAAATATAAATTCTTAGTGAAAATGCCGCTTAGCCAGGCGTAGTGTAGCGACTATGTAGAAACATGAAGGAAATAGGTTGCATATGTGCGCGTCCAACAGTCAACTTGGATCGACTTGGAAAAAGAGCAACAAATTTTGTGTGTGTGTGTGTGTGTGTGTGTGTGTGTGTGTGTGTGTGTGTACGTGCGTGTGTAGCTGTATGGAACTGTGTGGGATTGAAAATTGAAATGACAAAGGCGAAGCGAGCGCCGATGGGTATCGAAATCGCTGGACTTTCCCCAGAGTGAAATAATTGGACCTCGTTAGACCGCGAACGCATGAAACCGGATACATTGGAGCTCGATGCATCCGGTCGACAGTGGATCGCTACAGACGACTTGTCGCATACGTAGGGACACCGGTAATAAAATGAAATACCTATGTACATACAGGTTTCTCAAGGCTACGGTATCGTACACAATGACACAATACATGCCAATACATGTGTATGGTAACTCTTTTATATTTAATCTGTTTGACACTGTACTTGATTAATTAATAATTGCGTATAGACGCTGAATCATATTCAGTTATTTACACGGATTTCGAATTTTGATATTCATTGGCTATAATATAAAAATTAGATGCCATAATATAAAAAATTTCAATACTCTTTGACAAATTGACGTTTCGTTTGGAATTCGTTTCTCTTAAATACTCCCCGTAATATTCTATGCCTGAAAAAGCACTTGTTACGCATGATGCTTATTTTTATTATAATTACGTTTTAATGACACTTTAGGAATAAATGTCAATTACATGTGACATGGCGTGGAACTTGGATTATATTCGCCGAACAATACGGGATTAAGAATATGTTTGTTGCTAACCGCTGGCTAATGCCTCCTCCTCATCGATAACACAACCATTGTACGTGAAGTACGAAGGGTCCGCGGTTCACGTAGTGGAGTGGTTCTATTCTCCGTCGTTTCGCTTGGAGTCGTGTCGCTGCTTACCACAACCCGCTTTCCTTAATGCTGCACATTCAAGTTTAACGTATTAGTATCGAGTATGTAAGCTCCTTATAGCATTGGTCTATTGTGGTAATGTATTGTCGGGACGAAGTTCGATTTATAATGGGTGTCGACGAAACATTACCACGGAGATATCAATTTTCCTTTATCAGCTATACTGATAACCATACAGCGACCGATCCATTATCTTTCGAACATTGTAACGTCCTTTGCGTGCTAAGACCGATGAAGGATAATAAATTTTAAAGAAGATTAATCCTACTAGAAATATAACGAAAGATTAATTCGAAATCAATGAAGAATAATTGTTAAGAAATAGCCATTTCACAATTATACATCATACGACAATTTTATAAGCACTTTCATACTTTTTATTAGAATACCGTAGATCGACGAAACGAAAATTATTATTATTCGGTAAACAATGAAGATTATCTAAATGTCGATGAAAAAAACGTTAATTAGCACAGAGTAATATAAATAATGCAGATTCTCATTGATAATGTTGAGAAAAAGGCAATATTTATTTAAGACATACAAAAGAATAAGGTAATGGAATAAAGTAATAGAAGATAATGTGAAATATATTGTTATCAATGATAAAAAGCTCAACAGACATAAATGAGAATGATGATAAAAGCAGGGGGGTGGGGAGGGGGGGGGGAAACTAAAAATACATAAGAATTAAATGTTAATATTAAATAAAATTTTTAAAAAATTAATTCTATTATTTAAGCTTATATTTGCTTATCATTATAAATGGAAAACTTTTGTAAGAAATAATTGTATAATTTTGCTCCATGTTAGTCATATATGATGTTTAATAATAAAATTATCTAACGAAAATTGCTTACACTTTTATAATTAGAATTTAATTTGAGATAAATATAAAATAAGTGATTTCTTTATTGATACAATTAGCAATAGTTTAGAATACTTTGGGTTTTATTATTTATGTTTTCATTATTAACCATAACCATACGTGTAATGAAAAATATGAGTATATGAGTATAAAGAATATGAAGAAGAAAAGATTTTTAAGGCAATGCTAATTAACCAAAGAATAAATAATTTTTAATAATAATTCATGCAAAAGAACTTGACTTTTAATATGTTCAGACGGTGAAATAAACTATGATATTAAGTTCTTTGATGTCAATTTCAATTTAAACGTTCCAAGATCCAACATTTTAATATTAATTTTAATTTGATATTTTAGCATTTTTTTTTCTTCAATTTTAAGGCTATTTAATGGTTTAGCAACTTAAATGTTTATAGAGCATTTATTAGAAATTAGGATAAATAAGAAAGTAAATTTACAATATTACCATTATTATAATATAATTTCCTTAATGAAATAAAATTCATAAATTTATAATAAATTTCAATGACGAGAATTACATTACATCCTTGCCAAATGAAAAAACAAAAGCACAGTATGTTATTATTTAAAAAAATTCTAAGCTACGTAGTAAAAAAAAATTCTACTTTTATTCGTAAAATGAAGGATTCATTTCAATTTTGAAACATAATTAAAATTCTCGTTTTTCAACTTTTTCATCTTACAAAACATTCAATGACTTATTTATTTCATAAAACTATACGAACGTATTGTACCAGACATATGTATATAAATTTTATAATTATAATTATAAAAAATTGATGAAATTGATGAAAATCAGATTGTTAAAGATTTAAAAACTATTGTTAATAATTTCAACTGAAATGAACAGTCAAAGTATAATACAATTTTTAAATCTTATTTAGTGTAAATCATTGTAAAAGTAATTGTAAATATAAAATTTTGTTTTGCTCCTTAACTTATCATAATATGTTTATTATTTAATGTAAAGATTAAGATTGTTCATTATATATCTATATGCATATAATGATAATATTGGCGAAATGTGTGGGATAACTTTCTGTTTCCTTATGAATAAACAATGATTAATTAAATAATTGTTTAATTACTACGTTTGAAAGATAGTTTTAAAAATGTAAACTTATTTATTTAATTATAGTATTTTCTCTACTATAACATTTTACGAAATCCTCTCTTTCCTTTTTTTTTAAATCTCTTCTCTGTCATTTAAAATTATTAATAGAGAAAATTAAGATAATATATATAAAGCTCTGTACAAATATATTGAAAAATCGTATTAATGCTAAAGAAATCGTAGATAAGCCAAAAAAAAAAAAAAAAAAAAAAAAAAAAAAAAAAGCAATTTTTTTTTTTTTTTTTTTTTTTTTTTTTTTTTTTTTTTGGTATAATAAACGATATACTCATTAACAACTACGGGTAAGTTGTTTTTTTTTTTTGCCTGTCGGATCGAAAGAAAGGTATGACGCGATGATTATCCGCCCTTTTTCTATCACTTTTTCAATGAGTTTAGCGTTAAAAATCTTTCTTCCCGCGTATGAGTAAACGACGTTAAGGAAGATCGATCGCCTGATGAGCACACGCGAGTCAAGACACTGTAATTGCATGAGCCCACCTCCTCTCGCCAACTCCCTATCCTTCGCACCACTGCGCGTCTTTTTGTCCCAGGATATGTATAGCCTGCCGGGCGAGGGCTAAAAATTTCGTGGCAAAACAGCCCGGCAGCAAATAAAAAGCCCCACGAATGAAAGAGGAGAAGAGCTTCCCTAGCACGCGGTTTCGACATTATGTAGTAAGTAGATAGAAAGGGCGGAAAAGTACGTGCAAAAGGTTGCAGGAAGGGTTGTTTTTCCGTTGGATGAGCAGGGCTTGAAAATTAGCATTTTTGCGCGCCGGTAAAGTTAGCGGTAAGTATTTTTTCGACGAATGGAGAAGAGAAAAAGTACGAGGCAGATAACAAAATTTCTTATTTGAATAACTGAAGAGCAAGCTGCGTTTGCTTTTATTGTTGAACTCTCCGTTAGCTCATAATTATTAAATTAACAAAATAATATCGAATGCTTTCATTGCTCATATATTTGGAAGGATTCCAATCGTTACCTACTCAATTCCATAACTGTGAATCTCCCCCCCCCCCTCTCTCTCTCTCTCTCTCTCTCTCTATTTCAAACTCTTATATCAAACTTTTTCCTTCTTTTTACTCTTCAGCAAACATTATTCTTTTGGTGGGACAAGCCTTAAATGCAACTACGATAAATCTTTGTACATATATCTCAATTTGTATAAATTATACGTAAGCCGTGGAAAATATGAAAAAGGAATTATAATGAATAAGGGAAATAAAATTTTTTACTTTTAAAATTAAAAAATATGTAATTTAATTAAGAAATTTAATCAGTCTATTTAATATTCATTTATAATCTTATAGAATTACACTCGTTTCTCACATAATTTATTTATTCATCTCATTACTAATAACAATATTTATCTCTCAATGATTATAATCTCTTATTATAATCTCAATAATATGCTCATACTTGTACTCATACATACTCATACATTAATCAGTATTAATTTATTCATAATTTTAACTCCGAATATTCAAAATAATTTCCATATTAGAAATTTCCATATCCGAAAACTTTCCATCCAGAAAGTTACACTTTCGTTTGTCCTGTAAAAAATCTAATACTAACCCGTCAGTTGCAATATTTGTAATTTGAGAGTACGGATCTCAGCAGTCAGTCTCTCAACCTCGAGTCTTGTCTCCTCCTCGCGTTGATTTGCTTCCAGGAGGCTGCTACTGGCCGACGTCGAAGGACCTATAAATACAAAAATAATCTCTTAATTTCATCGAGTTCATTAATTCATGAGAATTTACGTATAAGCACGATTTTTAAGTGTGACATTATTTTATTTGACGCGCAATACTTGATGGTTATGAAGGAATATCGAAATAAGCATAGATTACGCGAATTATTTTAGAAATGTCGGAATCTATGAATGTATATGAACATTTCTTAGACATCAAATTTCGATAAAATGTAGTACAAAATGAGGGCTTGAAACTAATTTTATCAGTATGGTTGCTAGTATTTTGATATTATCATTATTTATCTGAATGATTATGATAGCTTGAAAAAACGGATTTCTAAGCTATGTAGATCGTAGATACTAAATATAAAATTTGGACTTTGAAAGTGCCTTAAATCTTTTCATTCAGTACAAAAGATATTATAAATAAGTTGAAAGGTATAAATTAAATATTTCACAAAGTTAATCGGTACTGTACGTTCATTTTATAAATTTGAAAGAATGAAAAGTTTTCTTCATTCTGTTAAAGTAGCTATTCTTAAAGTTACACAATTTATCAACTTCACAAGTAACATTGTTCATTTTGACAAAAAAATTTAACTTGCTTAACTGCTAACTGAATAGATGTCATTTTAGAGAACGAAATATTTTAAAAATACGTAAGCAATGATAATGAATTCACGATTCGAGTCAACGAAGCCGAAACTTTCTAATCTAATGTTGTGATAAAACTTATAATGTTTTAACTTAAAAAATAGAAGCAACGTAGTAGATGTTGAAATAACAACTGTACATTCACATTTTTCTATTTTATTATATAAATATTATATATACATATATAAATTTTTCATAATATTAGCTATTGGATTGAAATATAATTTAAGTTTTAATGGGTGATAAGTTCAATTTTAATTTACATTATATAAAGCTCAATTCCACGTACTGAATTATCTGTAAAGTCGAATAATATTCAAAATGTGTATTAATCTACAATATAATACTTATTTGCCACAATGTCATATACAATCTGCAAGTATTCAGTATGGACATACGTCTAATATCGATTTATTATTAACAAATGATACTTTAAGGCATCTTTTACTTCGATAAAAAAATCCATTATTTATACGTGATATTTCGTACTTCTGTAACATAAGGTAAAAACGATATGAGAGTAGATAAATTAATAGAATAAAAATGCATTTAAGAAGCTGCGAAACTGTATTTGAAGAGAATGAAGAACGTTGTGCGAAATCTCACATTTTATTTTTGGATATTATTATTAAGCGATTTTCCATTTACATTGAAAAGATGGATATTCAATGAAAAGTTTCTCGAGCTTCAAGAAAGTATAGATTGATGTAAAATATTTTTGAAAACAATTTGTGTATTGGAAGAAGTATAAATCTCAATGATAAATTATTTATAAATTTTCAAAATACCTTAACTGACTGAAATTGATGCGATTGTTATTGAAACTGATTGCGACTACAGCAATTAGAATTAAAACCAAAACGAAAGAATAAATAGTGCAAGTTGATGGACGGGCAGTGATAAAAAAAAAAGAAGAAAAAAAAGAAAGAAAATTAAGGATCTTGTAGGTATTGGAAAATACTCCGGTATCATTCACTTGATATGTCCCAGCAACTCCAACAACCTACTCGACCTCCACTTTACGAGCTGCAAAATTCGTCGGAGCTCGCTAACCAAATCCCCTCTCTACCATCCTCCACCATCCAACGTATCCACTCGTATTTCCTACGAAATAGACGAATTCGCATGTACGAGTCGTAAAAGTGAGAGTGTGCGAGTGATTCGATTTGCAATACTCGCGTGCTGGACGAAATTGACAGCGGGCCAACTCGTTCCTGAGTGAAAAGACAGAAGCGTCGAGTTATGGCCGCGAGATTTCTCCGATTGTACTTTTTGTATTTCTTTCCGCTCGTTCCACGCTCCTTGCTTCTGGAGGGATTCGTATTTCCGTATTCTTGCGTGCACGAAAAACTCACTTCCGCGATTCCGAGGATATATGCCATGGAATGTCATTCTCTTTATGGACGTAGTCGATTAAAGGGGTGCGTAAAGTTACTGTGAACCAGCTTACATTTCCAAGTTTATGAAAAACATAATTGTTATTATTATATGATAAATGTATCATCGTCTTGAAAGGTGCTAGATCGAGCGATTCCAAGCCAATGTTTTTTCTGTTCAAATATTCCTCTTATATAAATTAATAAACACTTGTATATATAAACTTATATTTGTAAAAATTTTTTATATTATGATACATCATAAGGTATGAAGCGATTTCAAAAAAGCTTTTCAAAGACCAACTATTGTTGAATATAGAGAAATATCAAATTTTAGTTAAATAATGTATATAATAAATGCTTTTAATAATATTTTTTCATAATAGTATCATTTATTTGCAAATGTGTATAATAAAAGAACTTGTAGAGCAAAGTAATTAAATTATTATTAATGCAAGAGTGTGGCATCGTGAAATATTTTCATTTAAATTTTCTTCCATTAGCTCCAAGTGTAATTCACACTTTAAAAGTACGAAAACCATATATTTTTTTACATAATACGTCATTAATATCAATAAGTTTTTGTCGGTCACATAAAAATGCGTCCCCCGATCAATAAGAGCACGCAATTTTTCATTATTCCACTCCACATACAATCAGAATATTTTTCTTTACTCTAATCTATTTGCACACGTTGAAATATTACCTTATCATTTTTTATTTCCATCCTGTCGATCGTTTTTTTTTTTTTTTTCAACCCAATGGTTCTCCATCATTCTTCCGTCTCCATACTAAATGCCTACGTCGTCTAAACACGAATTTCTCCCGTATATTTGCACGCAAAGCAACGTACGTCTAATAAACCTTGAATTACAGAATCAAGCATTGAATGAAAAGTCACCAAATAGGTGAAATAGGCCTCGGACATCTCAATGTCTGCCGCAGAAAATAATCCTCCGGGCGCAGGACGAACCTACACGGCTAATACCAGGCTAGGCGAGATGCAAACAACATCTCGACATCGCGGTCGATATTTTAAATGGCAAAATAGTCCATGAACCGAGCGATCCCTAGCCGGGAGCAGGAAAAATTGAATGTTTAATCGCGATTCCCGTGAGCTTCGCGAGCTTTTAAAGAATCGAGCCGTTAAGCAGGATGGATTGCGCACTGGCCGCTGAGCCTCCGAAGCGTAAGTGAAATAAATGTCTATGTGCTCGGGCGTAATGGGCGGCTGCCGGAAGCTGGGATACGCGGCTTTCGTTGACAGGCACTATCGCTCTTGTTTATCTCTGGCATTTGGTTCGTTCTCCATGTTAGTTTTGCAACGTTGTCGACGGACAAGGTGCGACTACTGCTAAGCATTTTGCAAATCGATCTTACATCATCCATTACTTCCTATAGCTCCTATCCAAGCTTAAGCGTTCGAGAACAAATAGAAAGATTTCGGAATTTCGATATTATCGAGACAGTTAAGTCGTTAAATTAGCGATTACTATGCATATTAGTCATAAGCCTACGTGTACGGAATTATATAACATGACATTAGCGTGCTATTGCGAGAAAATTAAATATCCAAGAGAGCATTGAAGAGAGAAGATAGATATAAACGAAAATAATCAGAAAAAGTGAACGGCATTTTAACATATTCTATAAGAATGCTTCTAAGAAATCATTTTATCATATAATTCGGTCAAATTTTATTCGTGCCTACTGCCATTAATTCTGTAAAATAAAATACAATTTCATAAATTGAAAATCATTGATGAGAACAAACGATTTAAGCACCCTATTGAAATAATTAAAAATTATAAATAATAAAATTAATCCGATCGATGAACTATCGATGCGTAATTATAAGAGTGAGCCATGAGAACTTTAGGATATTAATTTAATTAAAACTTCTCGAAATAGAATTTCTTTCGTTAGAGATAGCCGATGATTAAGATTTATTATAATAACTATAGAATTAAATTCAGAGAATAAATGGGCTGTTTATACATTATCTTGATCATGAAAATTGATCTTGAATTAATTGTGATTAATATCAAGTTATTAGCCGGCTTTACCAATATACATTTATCTGACATAATGGATTATTAAACTGTTAAATAGTGAATTATTATTAAGCTAGAGCGCATAAATGATAGCCAATGAATGATAAATGCAAATGACATTTTTCAAATGTGAGCATCAAGTCTGTTAGTTAATATGAAGTTATCAAATAATTTCAGATAATAATCATATCGTCGTTGAAGGTGTAAAAATGAACAAAAGAAGTTTAAAAATGTAAATTTTTAAATTAAAAAGAGGTCTTTCCTTTTTCATTTATTTATTATTTTTTTCTCATGCTCTTTCAATGTTAATACAAAGAGTCGAGTTTCATAAAATAACATGTATATTTTAAAATGGAAATTAGGAAATGTAAGGGTATATGCGATTAAATTCTAAATGGAGAAAGAGCGATAGAAGCATAACGAACAATGAACTTTCGTCTAATTTCAGCTGTAATAATAGGGCCATAAGTCGGTTGAAACTTGATATCGCAGCTTTCATTGTGCTCCTGCTCACTATTTGCTAAGTATTTTTGAGTCGTCGAAGAGAGTAGAATCGTCACTTTGCCAATTCTTCGAAATGAAAGCAGCCGCCCTTGAAGTAAGAACAAGAAATGTCAGAGAAATATTTAAGAGTGGCCGAGGGAAAATACGACTGACTCCTCGTACTTTTTGACGTAACTTTGTAAGAAACCCTTCTTTCCTTCCATTCCATTCCATCCATTCCATTCCTACCTTTCCTTTCCTCCCTACCTACCTACCTTCCTTCCTTCCTTCCTTCCTTCCTTCCTTCCTTCCTACCTTCCCTCCTTCCTTCCTACCTACCTTCCTTCCTTTCTTCCTTTCTTCCTTTCTTCCTTCCTTCCTTCCTTCCTACCTTCCCTCCTTCCTTCCTACCTACCTTCCTTCCTTTCTTCCTTTCTTCCT